AGAGAGAGAGAGAGAGAGAGAGAGAGAAGGAATTGCAGTAATGCTGTGCACTGATTAAAATTCCACAGTTAAAAAGGCTCAGTAACTACAACAGTACAAAGAAAAATCTCTCTATAACATGACGTGCATAGCAAAAGTTCCTTTTTCACTTGAGGAAAGGATGTTCATTCAGTAAAATATCCTTGAATAAAGTTACATACGATGAGGAAAGAAGAAAAAAAAAAAAAAACTTATGTGCACAGACTACAGAAATCTCTCTGAACACATTCTTGCCAAAAAGGATTTCCCAAACCTTTTGAAAACTGTGAATCAGTCGGGTTATTATCTCACTGCGATCAGTGAAAATGGGGATAACACAATAAGCTGTATAAAAAATATATATATATATTTGTATAAGCATACACATTAATTTTCTTCATTGAACCAATACCAAGGGAAAGTTAATATTATAAGTACACCAAAACAAATAATGAAATCAAAAAGAAAGAAAAGAAAGGGAAAATAATCTAAACCTCCTGAATGCTAATCTCAATCAGTCAAAGAACAGGGCATTACAAAATCGGTCATCTTTATCACCGCTCTATTACCGTAATTAAGTTTGCTATCTTCAGTAATCCTCTTTATAAATGACTTTTCACTTATTAGGTCTTCTGATGCTTACTGAGGAATGAAGCTTACAATAAAAATCAAAATGGTTATCTGGGGATTAAGGATTTGCAACCAAACCAAAATAACGGAAAAGAAATATATATTAGCAAACAGTTATGAAGATGAAAATGATAATAAAAATTATACTGCTGTTAATAACAATAACAATAACAATATAATAATAATGATCATGACACTAATTATAAAAAATATATATAACAATAATAATGACAAAAATAACAATAATGATGACGATGATGGTGGTGGTGGTGATAATAAAAATAATAATAATAATAATAAAAAAAAAATAATAATAAAAAAAAAAAAAAAAAAAAAAAAAAATAATAATAATAATAATAATAATAATAATAATAATAATAATAATAATAATAATAATAATAATAATAGATAACAATAATGATCATTATTGGCAATAATAATAGTAATAATGATAAAATAACTGATAACAACAACAAAAATAATAATAATAATAATAATAATAATAATAATAATAATAAAAGAGAGAGAGAGAGAGAGAGAGAGAGAGAGAGAGAGAGAGAGAGAGAGAGAGAGAGAGAAAGAGAGAGAGAGAGAGAGAGAGAGAGAGAGAGAGAGAGAGAGAGAGAGAGAGAGAGAGAGAGAGAGAGAGAGAGAGAGAGAGAGAGAGAGAGAGAGAGAGAGAGAGAGAGAGAGAAAGTGAGAGAGAAAGTGAGAGAGAAAGTGAGAGAGAAAGTGAGAGAGAAAGTGAGAGAGAAAGTGAGAGAGAGTGAGAGAGAGAGAGAGAGAGAGAGAGAGAGAGAGAGAGAGAGAGAGAGAGAGAGAGAGAGAGAGTGAGTGAGTGAGTGAGTGAGTGAGTGAGTGAGTGAGTGAGTGAGTGAGTGAGTGAGTGAGTGAGTGAGTGAGTGAGTGAGTGAGTGAGAGTGAGTGAGTGAGTGAGTGAGTGAGTGAGTGAGTGAGTGAGAGAGTGAGTGAGAGAGAGAGTGAGTGAGAGAGTGAGTGAGAGAGAGAGTGAGAGAGAGAGTGAGAGAGAGAGTGAGAGAGTGAGTGAGAGAGAGAGTGAGAGAGAGAGTGAGAGAGAGAGTGAGAGAGAGAGTGAGAGAGAGAGTGAGAGAGAGAGAGTGAGAGAGAGTGAAGGAAAGAAAAATCATAATAAAGAAATGCACCAAATACAATGCAATCTCCAGTATCTGTCAAGATATAGTTACAATATCTAAAAACTGCAGGGAGGAGGAAAAGGGCGAAGGCAAAGGTGATGAAGAAAAAAGTCAGAATGAGCATAAAATACTCCGTCCAAAAATCATGACCCCAGCACAGGAAATCCTCTCAGCATACGACTGTCCAATAAGATCTCTCCAAATGTTACTGCCAGACTTTTCATTTCCTCTATGTGACTGATCAGTATCTAGCCTTGGAATGGTACCTTTCTGTGCCCATTCTTTGAGATTATCATCACTGTGGTTTAATACAAACAGGAGCAGAGCATCCTAATACAAGTATTAGAAAACAGGTCAGTCTTACAAAACAACCTATATAATTTCCAAGGGCATCCCCTAGATGCTACAACCTTTAAAGCATACTGTTAATGTATCTAAATATATAACCTAACTGTGTTGGTAGAAACCATTATAGAGAACATTTGATTAATAAATGAGAAATAGTTTTATATAAAAAAGTACATGAAGGCTTGTGTACAAAAACACTATATAAACGTACACAATTAGGGGAAACATTGTCTTGTCCCCTTGAAGTAGGAAATTAATCAGTCCCTATGTTATCTTATACAAGACTTTAGGTAACAAAGTCCGAGTCCCTCTCCAGTCTGTTCAAAAGGGTCAGTGACACACCTCTGCCTTACTTTTATCATCCTACATTTACCTGCCTGAGCCCAACGCTAGCAACATGGCCAATGCTATGTGGGGCTTGGATGACCTTCCTCTTCAGCCGGAACACTGATGTGGAGGAATTGTTGATCCAGGGAGATTTTCATTTGTTATCAATGAATTCTATGAAATTTTTCCCAATAAAATAGAAGGACCAATGAGTCCCTCTCAATTCTAAATATATTCTGAAGATGTATTTTAACAACCTCCCATATCAAATTAGTTCAAACGAAATAGCTGCACATATTCATTAATGAAACCAAAAAGAATAATAAACAAAAAGCTACTCTTTGTATTCTCTCAGTGATTAGTGCTTGGCCATACCAGGCACTATAATAAGTTTGATTTTTTACACATGAACTTATTGCACCTTGGAAACAAAGTCAACCTAAACAGCAAGTACCGCAAAAGCAGAAAATATAAAAGTCAAGATATGTATTAAACTTTCTTAAATTTTACTGAGTTTTCTATGCCTTAAAAAAAAACAAGAATTAAGAAAAGGAGAAAAAGAAAAGAAAAGCAGACAAAGAGACTGAAAAACTGCCTTGCTAAATGACTATGAAGACCAAAATATCCTTTTACATTGCAAACACTAATTACTGAAGGGAAATAGTCTGACACCCTAATCATTTGAGAACCAAATCAATGTCAACCCTAATCCGATGGGCATGGCATATACGAACATGCCTCGCCCACTGTGAGTTTACATTATTAATTGTTTTTACACATAGACGGCTACACATGTACTAAGTCACCAATGAGCCAATTACAAGTACTGCCTGTCTCACCTGTTTAACAGTTTCCTTGATTTTCTAAAATATTTTGTTATATTATTTTGCTGTTATCAATATCTATAATATTATAGTAATTATAATGTCTATAATAAAAATAACTCTCTATATTCATAGCAATAGTAAGAAAAACATTTTTTTCTGCCAATTCAAGGAAAGGGGAAATCAGGTAAGGGCACAAGGTCTACTAATTGACTCCTTTGTGGCTAAGCACTAGCAGAGCCATCTATATGCAAAGACATTTTACAACAAATATAAAAAATGAGCACAGCATTTCCCCGGTGGCATTGGGTTAATTAGAGGTAAACTTCTCCCTATATATGTATATTATATGTATATATATATATATATATATATATATATATATATATATATATATATATATATATATATATATATATATATATATATATATATATATATATATATATATAAAACACACACACACATTATAGATATATATGTATATACAATTATATGTCTGTATGTGTATATATATGTATAAACAATTATGAATTTTGTATGCATTATGCCAAAAATAATTTTACATCCTCTTTTTGTTATCAACACTATAATCTTTTGCATTGTCAAATATAAAAGGCTAAGAAGATGAAAACCAACCCATTCCAGTGCACAGAGCATAAAAAAAAATGCAAGGAGAGATAGTGGAGAGCAACGTAAAAAAAAATAAAAATAAAAATAAAAATAGAGAAACAAAAAAAAATAATAATAACAAATACAGTAATAAAGTAAGATGGATCCCATGGGCAATCTCCAACCCAATTCACGTACAGCCACACCTCATGCTCTCATGTAGAACACCACCGTCACAAGCTCTTCCTTCTATATCCCCCCCCTCCCCCTCCACTCCACTGTAATGGTGTCTGATAACCATGAGATTTTTCTTCTCCACAGAATAGAGAAGGAGAATAGAAAATGCTAAATAGTCTGAGAAGAAAGTAAAGAAAGGAAAAAAGAGACAGAGAGAGAGAGAGAGGAAAAAAAAGAGAAGGAAAAACAGTATAAGACAAAACAAAATAATAGGAAAGACAGAAAAAAACAAAAACAAAATCAAATTGGCCCTCTTAATGAATGTGATCTTTCTCAAATAACCTATTACACGTCATAAAATAAACACAGACAGTATTTACACAAAGAAATCATAATAATAATTACTAATCAATAATAATTAATGATAACAATAATAATATCATTAATAATAATGATGATGATGATAATAATAACAATACTAATATTATCATCATCATGATTTTTATTAATAAAGAGAACAGTTGCAATAATCATAACCTTACAACAAATTATTTTTTTATAACTTCAATCATATGCACATCAAAGAATAAATGTAATAAGCTGTATGGGTAAAATAATATTTTAGGGCTTAATACCAATATACATTTCACTAAAATAACTTTCTAAAATGTTATTTTTTTTATCAAATGAAAATGGTAAAGTAAAATAAAGTAAAAAAAAGTAAAATAAAGTAAAATAAAGTAAAGTAAAGCAAGTAAGTAAGTAAGTAAGTAAGTAAGTAAGTAAGTAAGTAAGTAAGTAAGTAAGTAAGTAAGTAAGTAAGTAAGTAAGTAAGTAAGTAAGAAAGAAAGAAAGAAAGAAAGAAAGAAAGAAAGAAAGAAAGAAAGAAAGAGAAAGAGAGAGAGAGAGAGAGAGAGAGAGAGAGAGAGAGAAATAAATATATCTTATATCCTCTTCATTTTAAACCCTTTTTTTCTTCTTTCTTCTTTCTTTCGAACTTTTCCTCCTCCTTAACCCCAAAAGGACAGTAAAAGCCCAGAGCTTTGTGTACACACATGACAGGAGAATGCATTTCACTGGTTATTGTGATATATGCTTATTTCAAGTTAACTTCTAATTTGGACATCCATAATAGGGTTGATTTGGATGATTTGTGTCTCTCTTTTCCATGTGCCTACATTCCTGAGAGCAATTGCCATATTTTGTCCTTTGAGGGCTTGGGGGGAAATTAATCAGATCTCAAACACTTACACAAAAAGGAACCCAAATGTGTTTTTCTAATCAGTGATAGACGGCATAATTTCTCCTTTTTCTGCCCTTCTTTACCCTTTATCACCTCCAATATTTCATCTATGTTGCTTTGGTCATGGAGAGAAAAGAGGAGGATGAAGAAGAAGAAGAAGAAGAAGAAGTAGAAAAATAATAAGGATTAAAGCCAGAAAAAGGCTTCAAAGAGGAGGATAAACGGGGCCAGAAAAAGAAATGGAGCAAAAGGAAAATACATTCTTAACCACTTCAAAGCCACCACAACAGACATCCCTCTCGATCCCAACCAATGCAATATGTTCTCAGTATGCATTCATAATAAAGGTAGTCAAAAGCAAATATTAGGATAGGAAAATGGAAAGAACGAATGAAAAAAAATAATAATAATAATTGAACAAGAGAAAAATAGATTTTTTTGTTTTTTTCTAAGCTATTCCTGTTTTCTCAAGAGCCTCTGTCATACCCCTATCCCTCCCTCCCCTCAAAGTACATCAACTTCCTTAAAAACTTGTCTTTCATTTCCATCCCCCCCCCCTCCCCTGAACAAAAACTTTTGTATTTATCTTCCAAGTCTTCGTTACAATCCCAGGTTATTGGTCATAGATGCAGGGCCAGCTGCAGGGGGCTGTGGGGTCATCATACCCATCATAACAGGCATACTATTCATGCCTTGGCCAGGCATGCCCATTGCCATCCCACTTCCACCACTTGGGATCATGGCAGCTGGCACCATCCCAGGCATCATTGCCCCAGGTATTGCACTGCCATTCATCACTGGAGCAACAGGTGGCTTGGGCTGCTGTGGCGACATCATCAGGTTGCGTCCCAGCATCTGGTTGCCCCCCATCATCATGCCTGAGGAAAGACAAGCAGAATAGATTAATATGAAGATAATATGTACAGTGAGTAGTAACTACCACAGTGCTCATCTCTGTCATTAAAGGACAAAGATGAATTCCACAGAAAACTTTTGCAAAGTCTAATGTTTCAGCTTCTTACCCTCTTATTTGTACAAACTGCCAAAATAAAAATTCCAAACCAACCAACAAGTAGAAGATGAAACAAACAAATGCTTATGATTACCATACTGTAAATTTATTAGAAAAGAAGAAAAAAATGGACCCAAAAACAGCAACACAACCATAAGCGACTCATCAGCAACCATCACTGTTGTCCTTTTTAAATTCCTTATTAATATTCTTTCTCATACTCATGATATCAAAAGAATGTATCTTTAATTCACATGGACACTGTATTGATAAATATTTGTACAGGTTATGTTCATTATTTTCAATATGTTTAACCCATTCACGCCGGGTGTCACATATACGTGACGGGCCCACTGTGAGTTTACTTGTTTAATTGTTTTCAGACATAGATGGCTGCACTTGTACTTATACTGCCTGTCTCGTCTGTTTACCCTTTTCTTTAATTTACGAAAATATTTTACGTTATCTTATTTTGCTGTTATTAATGTTTATAACATTATAGTAATTATAAAGTTTATAATAAAAATAACCATCGATATTCATAGCACTAGTAAAAATACATTTTCCCGCCAATTCAAATAAAGGTGAAATCAGGTGAGGCAGAGACCATCTAGTGTAGAGATATTTCACGAAAAAATATAAAAAATGAGCACAGCATTTTCCCCATTTTTTGTTCATTTTTACCTGGCGCGAATGGGTTAACCCATTCGCCACACGCCACCTATTTCACCTGTTTATCCTTTTACTTCACTTTAGGAAAGGGTGTTTTTGTATCATTTAATTGTCTAAAATATTCTAATGGCTATTTAATAATTACAACATCAGTAACAATAATAATAGTATTGAAAGCAATGGTATTAGTTTTCCCGCCAATTCAATGAATGGGAAAATCAGGGTCGGTAACTAGGGTCTACTGATACACTCCTTGCCGGATGAGCACATGTGGAGCCATCTGTATGAAACAAAATTCACCAAAAACTACAGGGGACCGAACATGAATCCGTGGCGAATGGGTTAAGAGGAAATGGTCAGTAGAAGTGACCATTTAAACTTATTTGATGCTGTGTAATTTTTTTTATCTGATTACATTTTTCTTTCTTTATTGTTTTAAACAATTCAGAAACAATAATGTACACACAAAAAACATTATATCAA